CATTAGTTTAATTTCTTCTGATTAGCTTGGGTGAAGATTGGTTAGAACGATCTTCTCACTTCTTTTTCACCAACCACCCGTAATAATTATTATGGATAACTCTAGTGGTTATTACGGTCCGCCTTCTTTCTACCAATCACCCAACCGCCCTCCGTACCAAACCCATTCACCTTACCACCCACATCAAAACACATATGATGATGACTTCCAAGTCAACAATGGGTCAGACTACTATCCCTACCATGAGGAAACACCATATGAAACCCCGTCTAGAAACTTTGGATATTTTCCATACCAAAATTCTGATGGGGATAATTATTATGAACCTCATGGAGATAACGATGACTATGACCAATATGGGCCAATGCACGACAATCAATCTGATCCACTCGTCGAAGAGATCATAAGATTAGAACAGAAAATCTTCTATTTCGACGAACTTTTATTCACTGAAGGCTCCTGGTACGAACCACCCTACTCCCGTGACTACACTTTGTTTGCTGAAGAACAAATTGAAGCAAACAAGGTGGCAATTCGAGAAAGAGCAAAACTTCTTGAATTAGTCCGGAAGGAAAAGGAGTTCGAAAGGAGATTATGTGAAGGATCAGAAATGATGCAGAAAATGCTGAACGACTTTCAAAGAGAGACTAGAAGCTGAGTCTAAAGCCGATAAATTAGTCAATGATCTCTGCAAGGCTGTTGAACTTAAACGCTCCCTCCAATCTCAAGATCAAATGAGGGAGATTAATGTTCAAAAAGAGGCTCTAGAACCTAAGATCAACCCTGAACCCATCGACCAACAGGTTCCAGTTCTAGAAGATTCACCCAGACCAGCACTACCACAGAAACCCGAGAGCATAACAACTCTCGCTAGGGCTACTGTGGTGATGTTACCTGAATACCCTTCTAGCCAAGTCCTAACCAGCATAGTCGTACATGAGGTGGAACCAACTGAGGGACCTGACTCAGAACCACCTATGCTTATTCAAGAAAAGGAGGAGGAAGTTTTGCTTACGGCAATAAACGACCATCTCCTTAATTGTGCTGAAGACACACCTCCAAAGGAACCTGTTTTGGAGGAGATAGAGCCCATTACCTGCCCCCAAGATTCCAATATCCAAGAGTCTGAGGAGGAATCTGTTGACGAGGAAATATTGTGCATGGAAAACCCAACTTCGTCTATAGAAACCTGTGCAAATAATGCTTCACCAGTATATTCAGACCAAACTTTATTTGACTCCTTACATGACGGGTGTAACCCGGTTTGCCCGGAGGATAGTCGGAGCCAAAAGAGTTGGGATGAACTTCTGGTAAGTGACGCTGAAGACTCATCCATGGGGGAAAGCACGGTCGTAATCATCAAACCACAAATGGATAGTCAGCCTATTGAAGATAAGGAAGGAATCAATTTCACAGTCAAAGCTAATGATGTGGATCAACTGAGGAGACTTCCGCCACCACCCACCTATCTAGAGTCTCCTCCTTTTATCCTGTTGCCGCCAAACCGCAGGGACGAGTCAAGGATCCTGGACCTTGACCGAGCAAAGATTCAAACAAGGCGGCATCAGAAGAGAGTCAGAAGGGCCAAACTTTATGACTCTCGGATCGGAAAGTCGCGGAAAAAGTGGGTGAGCGTCGAGCTACAGACGTTAAAGAAGCGCTTAACGGGAGGCAACCCGTCATTCAAATAACTAAAATATTTAAATAAATTCAATAATTTTATTTGTTGTTCTTGAGTTTCTACTTGCCGCACCAGTTTTGGGGGCAAGATTTTATGTGTTTGTTTATGTGTATGCAGATGCCTCATCGTCCTTCTTACCCTACTGTGGACCGTAATGAGGTCCAACTGATTGATGCTGCTTCTAGGACGAGGTTCGATGAGTGGGGACACTCACGGGTGTTACACGAGTCGGTGTGTCTGGCTCAGGATACACTGACGGACTATGGCTATGCAGAGGAGATGGAGGAGCTGCTTGAGGGGACCAGATGGCAGCGCCTGCTTAAGATGAGGGCAGAGTCTAGCCTACCACTGACCATCGAGTTCTTATGCTCGATATCTGCTGTCCCGGAGATTGAGTCACGACAGATGACGCATAGTTTGATCACTGCTGATACCACGTTTGCCTTCACTCTTGCGGGCCAGTCGTTTCAGTTGACAGTGAGAGAGATGGCTATTCGTCTCGGGATCTACACCCAAGAGGAGACCGAGCAGCCTGAGTTCTACGACGATCCCTTCTGTCTTCCTGCAGATTTTGATGCTATAGCTTTTTGGAGGGAGCACTCATCTGACGACAAGGAGTTTGTGAATAAGAAGAGCAAGGCTCGATACTGGATTTGGTTCAGCTGGAGGATCCTATCTTTTGTTCTTTCGACATCCTTCTTTGGGAGGCCGTCGAACACAGATAGGGTCTACGAGGAGGATATGTTTGTCTTCTGGAGCTTGCACCACTGCCAGCCGGCGAACGTGGCTGTGTACCTGGCCAGATTCTTATACTCCCAGTCCTACGGGTGTAGAACGCACTTGGTTTGTGGGTTTGTGATTACTTTGCTCTTTCGCTCCCTCGTGGGGGATGCACCCATCCCACGGCCTGTGCAGTTGATGAGGGATTTAGATGCCGGCATGCTCCGGAATGCTCACATCCACCGGAGACTCTTTCCTAGCTCTTCCGAGAGCACTACGGCCTCTACTGGCCGCACTTCACATGAGATTGGAGAGTCATCCGGTCAGTCAGAGAGATCGTCTCAGCGCCTTCCTCGTCGACGACCTACCAGAGCACAGTTGGCTCGCGCTCAGACGGAGGTAGCACCGGCATGGGCCCAGCAGCTCTTACAGAACCAGAACACACTTATGCAGTCCGTTGCGGCACTCCAGCAGCAGGTGCATGGTTTAGACAGGATACGTGAGGCATTGGGTTTCGAAAACCCGACAAACCTCCCTCCGCGTCAGCAGCAGCCCAGAGATGACGATCCCTCC